TAAATAATGTGTTTCTGTTTCTATTCTAAATTCTACAAAAATCACTCTTTTGAATCTTACGTAATCAGTTATTATTTATTTAGTTTCATGTTTAGCTCTATTTATTAAACAAAAAATGCTGAATTTCCATCTATTTTTAGATAATTTATTCACTTTATAGAAATCTATTTAAGTACTAAAAGAGCGTGGAATTACTATTACTAGAACTGTTCAAAAATTAGCTGCTGGCTATCCCTCTCGCCTTTTAATGCTCAAAATTGCAAATAGAGCATTAGAATAAGGCCATCTAGAAGCTACTATTATTCATGGAATAGCTTATTAGCTGTAGCAAGATTCAAATACAGTTATAAGTAAGTTTTTCTTTTTTTATTTCTTCTTTATTTAATATCTCGCCCAATTTTTAAGCTATTAAATTGATTTCTTGATAGGAATGACTAGCGGATTTTCCTTACCTGAATTGATTAAGCGTGAGCGAAAAAGACCCTGAAAATCAGCCTCAAATTCAAGAATTACTTGAAAACCCTTTAGAGACTAACCGACTAAAATTCTTCTTATCCCTATATTTATTGATTATTATAATCATTATATAGGGGGAGTAGATCAAGCAAATCAGCTCCGAGCCGCCTTTACCACTCATTTTCGTTGAAATCTCAAGGAATTCCTTCTAGGAGTTTTTTAGTGTCTTGATTTAGCTGTTACAAATAGCTATAAGCTTTATTTAGCTATCCACGGCTCTAAAACAACTTAAAACGGCAATCAAGACACAAATCAGCATCGAAACTTTATAGAAGATCTTGTTAATCTTCTATTTTGTATAGATTCAGAGGATTTCGCTCAAAAAATCACTGAAAAACCTTATCTGAAACATTAATTTCAATTTTATTAATCTGGACTAAAACCCTCTTTAGATGCTATTAATAGAGCCAAAAACTCTATTATTCATTAAAAAAATCTATTAGAAGCGCCAGAGTCTTTATATAAGCATCATACTCATTTTAAAGCGCTACAAAGAGGCTATTATGCATTTTGTACGCCGAAATCAAGAAAACTGTCTGAAAAACAGAGTTTAAGGGAAGAAGACCTCTCTATCTCTGTATTTTGATTTAATTCAAATCAGAATATAGAAGTAGAGAGGTCAAAAAGATCAAGAAGGGATCAAAAAAGAAGAAAACAGACTTTCTGGTATTATAAGGAATGCGAAAAACATGTTTA